GGGCTTGGATCCAGCCTAGTCCTGTGCTTACCGGGTCACCGCTGAGGCGGCCTTCCTAGTGCACCCGGGGAGGAGCGCTGTCCTGGCACGGGGATAGTACTAGCACCTGCCAGGGTGATGTATAGTAAGCCTCCCACTTAGCTGCTGGAGTGGGAAGGCCTTGGCTTCATGCCCACTTTGTGGAACGGGGAGACTCCCCCCTGCTTTCTCCTGCAGCCTTATGGCTGAGGGCAAGGGAAACTCGGGGGCATCCGCAGAGGCGACCTGAGCAGGGTGTGGGGCCCGGGGCAAATCAACCTGTGCGGGGCCTTGGCCCCCCCCCAAAGCTGGTGGCACATTCGATGGCGGGGCTGCGGGGTGCTGAGAGGCTCGACGACGTGAAGCCCGTGACAGCGCGGAGTCACCGTGGCCACTCTGCCTGGCTCTGTGGGACCCCCAAAATGCAGGGCCTGGGCCAGATACCCCGATTCACCCCTCCCCCTGGGCACCTGAACGCCAAACCTCTGGGCTTGGGCCTGCATGTAGGATGCCTGGCAAAGGTTTTAGCATGGGTGACTGATGCTTCCCGAGTCTGGGGGGGCACCAGATCGCCGAGGGGGCGAGTGTCCCCCATGGCTGATCGCAGACCAGAGGGGGAGGGGAGTCCCCCGGCAGCCCATCTGTGAGCATGTGCACTTCTAGTTTCACAGATGGTACTTCCAGGGGGTGCGGGGCCAATCTCGGGGTGCACATGCACCCCCTATGCATCACCAATGTTTTTGGAAACATCTGAAGCCCCAAATGGGTTTGGAGGATGATTGCCGGTAGTAGGGCCACTTGTGGTTCTGGACTGACTCATGGATTTGGAATTTGTTTTGGCTAATTTGGCTTGGGATATGGAAAATTTATATTAAAAAGAACAACCTGTGTCTCACCTACCAACCACCCCAATGCACATTTTCACTGACTGGCTTTCTTGCATACTGCTGGTCTCTGGCTGCTTTACCACTTCCTCCAGGAAGAGCACAGACCATCTGCAGATGCTACCTCAGCCTGACGAAGGACTTTTGTACCTAAAAGCTTGCAAAGAAGAAATTATCCAACTATTTGAGCTGATGTAACAAAAAAAAAAATCAGATTTACCAAAAACACCTCATCTCTCAGGGGCTTAGGACTTCATTGCTTCTGGCTTCACTGACAGCAGAGCTCGTCACCCCCAGCCATGCTCAGTCAATCTGCCCCAAGCCTCCCTGCGGTTTTTGGGCATGGAGCATCTCTGCTTTCCCTCTAGTCCTTGCCCAGCATGTTGTACAGGGAGGGTGGAGAGCAAGGGCAGGCTCCCTGTCCCAGGTCACCAAGCCAATTTCTTGTCTTTAGAAAAGTACCCTGGCAATTTTTTAAGATTCACAAGCAGCCAGGTCTCCTGGAGCACTGGGCAGGTACAGGGCAAATGAGGCTCAATTCCATCCCCCAGGTTTGTGCCAACCACAGCTGAGGGTCATAGGAACGGCTCTTGTACATCAGTGGTTTTCAACCTTTTTTTCTGTGGACCCCTAAACAGATTTGCATGGAGATGCGGAGCCCTTTGGAAATTTCAAATGGATGTGCAGAGCCCTTTGAATTGTAAGTGTGGGTATTCACATATATTTCATTGGTCATAGTCATCTTTTGCAGATCCCTTAGACATAATCTGTAGACCTCCAGGGGTCCACGGACCACAGGTTGAAAACCACTGCTGTACACAGAACAGTTCACTGTGGTGCTACCTAAATAATAGCCTTCTTGTCTTCTCCAAATATACAGACAGCCATATCATTGGGAGCGCTTTGTATTTCACAAGCTAAGCAAGGTCACATCTGGTCATGTTGATAGAAAAGCTTGCACGAAGGCACAAGGACTGCCAATGCAGTTGTTCTGGCACATGCAGAGTGGGGATGGGGGGCATCCTGGCCTCACAGGGGGAAAAGCGCTTCATGTGACTCCAACCCAGCCCTGCAGGGGGGAAGGGAGCCCCAACCTGGCCCTGTAGAGGGGGAAAGGGGGCTTCACACAGCCCCAAACCAACCCAGTAAGGAGTGGGGGGACATGGCCCAGCTCCAACGTAATCCCACTTTGGGGATGGGGCTTGTGGTAGTCGCAGCCTGGTTCTTCAGAGGGGAGAGGGCTTGGCCTGTCGCCAACCCACCACAGGGCTTGGGGTTTGGGAATTTGGCAATGGGGAAAGGTGGCCATATTAATTACCACCCCCTCCCACACAGCCAAATTTCCCAACCTGTGGGGAGCCCCAGGGACTGGATGCCACAACTCAATGGGCTACATTTGGCCCTCAGGACAGAGGTAGAGCACACTCAGTAGCCAAACAGTACTTTGATTTTTCCCTTCAAATCAGGCCAGAATTATGATATATCTGGGAGCTTTAGGAACATACGAATGAAAGAGGTCTTTTGAGCCACTGAGTCCAATCTTCTGTATTTGCAGGAAGTGTCGGGGAGCCAGTATGCTACTGAAGGTGACGTCCTTCACAGTGGTTAAAATGGATTGAGACAGGAGGGGGAATTTGTGAAGAAGTGCTTCCACTCCAAGCTTAGAAACTAGGGGGGAGCTTCAGAAGGAGGGTCTCCTGGGCCACTGAGGCCAGTCTCTTGCATTCACAGCAAGAAATTCTCCTGGATTCCTACTGTTGTTCTAATCAGGGCAGTTATTCTTCAGTCCTTACCTCAAAACTGTTGCATATTTTAAGTCACCCCAGGGCAGAATGGCTGCTTGACCCCAGCCTGGAAGTAGCTGCATTTCTGTGTTGGGTAAGTGATTTCACTATTTACAATTTATTAAGTACTTTCGGTTACTATAAGTGAGTGGGTTTGGGCATATAAAAAGCCTGCGTTTCTCATTCGTATTATTTTTCCATTGGCACGAAGTCTTGCTAAGTTGTGGTGGCATAGTTAAGGTGTCTTGCTATAGCTCCAGAGATATGAGCAGACATCTTGCTCAGAAGTTGCACCTAAGGCTGCCCCAGTCAGCCCTGCTATAACTGGTCATTTAGGGTGGGGAGACAAATATGCTCAAATAAGATGTGAGCCATAACATAACGTCTTTGTGCTGTTGTACTGAGGTACCTTAACTGTGCTACTCTGATGTGGTATTGAGCGTGGACAGACTCTTTTGGTTTTATTTTTCACTGAAATAAAAGAAAACAAGTAAAAGTTCCCAGCCTAAACATAATAATCAAAAGGCATCATTTTCCAAAATGGAGAAGATCTATCTAATTTTATGTTATTTACTGGGGGAGTATATTTATTAGTATTATATAAAGATACCCAGAGATCCTTTCCCATTCAGAGAAAATACTCTTGTAGCAAATGATCATGAATGAATTCAGTTTAAATTAAAAGATAAACAATAATATGTTAGTAATGAAGGTTTGAAATTTCAAAAGGCAGGCTTGAGAAAATAATTTAATTCAGCTGAATAGAAGATTTTAGGGATGGAGGAGACTGCAAATTTCATGTAGCCAAAGGGTCTAAACCTCTCTGGATTTTGTAAAAGCAAGAGGACAAAATGATTGCAGGGAAGGGCTCTAGATCTACCTCGATGAATAACCACTGCAAAAGCCTAAAGAAAGGAAAATAGTGATTGATAAGCAGAAGAAGTTACATCCCTAGGATCACAAAATGCAGGAATAAAGTGAAGATGAGCTAAAAATAAGGATGAGTTAGACTATTTAGAGGAAATGAAAATAAATATTAAAAACCAAATTGTAGCCTTATAAATAAAACAAAACCAAGAAAGAAAAAAGTGGAGAATTTATGCAGTAAAGGTAGGATTGAAATTAAGTATAATATACTGGTCTGATTTTAAATAGTCTGTCCCTATAACTTGACCTCACACTGTCAGTTTCAGTTTTAAGAAAAACAGCTTTTCCCCCTAATATAAGTTGATAACTACAGAGAAAGTCTTTGAATTATTATTAGCTTTATAAAAATCCTAGAGGGGAAGCAGACAATCAAGGAAAGAACCCTAAGGGTTAAATATACTAAAAAGGCTAAAATGACCACACAAAAAAAACCTCCCTACCAAAAAATTATTCTGCTCAAGGCTCACCATATAGTCTTCAGCTTAAAATTCTACGTCAATATAACAAAATAACTAAATGGAAACTAAAACTAGTTTAAAAAGGACTTTATGAAATCATTGAATTTGAACTTCATTTCTAGATTAAAACCTCATATGACATACAGAGCTGAAACTCTGGATCCAAACAGACATGATTTTAGCGGTTCCGAATTGAAATGTTCCTGGTTTTGGCGGGGGTTATGTTATGAAGAGAAAGCAAGTAGTTGTATTAACACAATTATTATGTCCAAGTTTTGGATCAGTTCAGTTAATTTTTTGTTTTAGTTATCTTTTTTTGTTATCTTTTTGTTATCTTTTGAATATTTTAAATTTAACTTTAGACTTGAATTTAGTTCAAGAAATTTTTAGGATCACTGATTTTTTTCTGAATAATAAGTTCATAGTCCACAAAGACTCATTTAATACCCATTTTGTTTTTTATCCACACTTCTAAAGTGTATCCAGCTCTTTATGGTGTCATGTCAACAAACCTTGTGGGCAATAGCTCTGTGGCAAACGTGCTTAGCAGTTACATGGATAGCCCTAAAGCTGGGGACCCAAGACTTCCCCCTATTAGGATTTCTGCGCACCTAGCTTGCCTGTCTTTCACTCCAGGGACATCCTGGGAAATTAGGGGTCATCATGATCTG